GAGAAAAAAAAAAAAAAAAAAAAAAAAAAAAAAAAGAAAAAACCCCACCTATGTCTCTTCCTGTAACTTCTTGGTGTGGAGAATAAATGCAGGAAGAGAACCCCAATTCGGGATTAATTTCCCAAAAGGAAGAAATGCTTCTTGCTTGAGGGTTCTGGGGGAGATTAACCACTTTGGGGCTTCTCACTGCTCAGAAGGGATGGGCTTTGAGTAATCCTTTGCGGCTCTGTCACCTGGGGAAGTGGGGTGACAAATCCATGGTGGGCAAAGCAACACCAACAACTGTCAATAATATTTTTTCCTGCAGCTGTTCTATTTAAATTAGGATCCATGTAACATCCACACATTGTGATTGCTCCTTCTGCCAATTGTCTCTTTCTCTTTTTTCATTTTCCCCCTCCATCTTTCTCTTTTTTCATTTTCTTGCTAGTTGGAGAAACCAAGTTGTTCGTTCTGTAGAGTTTCCCACAGTCTAGATTTTGCTGTTTGCATCTTTGTGATATAAACATGTTCCTCTCTCTCTCCTCTGTATTTCCTATAAATTGCTGGAATTGAATCTATAGGCTTGATCAGGTTCAGGTTCATTATATTTGGAAAGGTCATTTTATAGGCAGCGTGTTCTTCCATAACAAGATCCCTAATGTCTACCCATCTCTCATTTTGTGATATTGGTGGCCATCAATACACAATGCGTAGATCCATTTATTTATTAGGTGTTGCAAAATTGTGACTCTAAAGTTGTCATTTCCTCTTTTTTTTTTTTTTTTTTTTTTTTAGCCAGAATACTTCTTTGAAAAGAAACTTTCTGTAACCTAGCATTTGGTTACCCAGAGGTAGAGTTAATATAGGAAAGGCAGGGAAAAAATACATTATTTTTCTTTTTATTTCTAGCAATTTTCAAAATATAAAAATTGTAATTATACAATAATAAAAATTATATAACATTTTAAAATTATTCAATATAAAAATTGGGTTATTCTATTAACAGTGATCAATTTTTGTTGTCATCAGTATCATCATGAAGGTGCATATTGTTTAATCAGTGTTTTTGTTTTGTTTGCTTGCTTGTTTTTCGCAAAGATAAAGTCACAGAACAAAGTACCATATTAAGGACTAGGCCAGGCTCGAGAGGCTCTTTCTTCCTTTAATGAAACAGTAACTGAATACCTCCAGGATTTATCCTTGGGGAAACGATAGGCAAGGCCAGCAACCAGGTTCCATTACTCCATCTCACCTTCCACGTTGTAAAACTCATTTGTCTTCTTTTGGCTGTCTGGCATCCACCCTTGCTTCCTAATAGCACCCTGAATTCTTTAGGGAAATTGCCTTTCCTTAGTTTTGCATGCTTTGGGGGAGAGAGTGCCTTCGTCCCTCTCTAGGCTTCTAAGAAGGCACATCAGCTTTCCTCTCTGCTCCTGGGGCCTCCAGAGGGCAGGCATGTGGCCTAGTCCAAACTTCTCACCTGGAACTGGGATTCCTGAGCAAGGACATTAGCAAGAGGACAGTGAGGTGCCTATCACTGATGCAGAAAGCCTTCATGCTGCATCATCATTGCTGTGGTTTCTGCTGCTTTCTCTGTTTTAAAAGTAGTTTCTTTTTTTTAAATGAAGGTTCCTTAGAATTTTCTATGTCATATCATGTAAATAAACAGCTTTACTTTTTACTTTTCAATCTGTGTTTTATTTTCCTCTCTTGCTTTATGGCCAGTACTTCCAGTATGGTGTTAAATAGAAATTGTGAGAGTGGATATTCTTCCCGTATTCTCAGTCTTGGGGGGAAGGGATCAGTTTTTTTTTTACCATAAAGTATCATTAGTTGTAAGATTTTTTTAATAGATGCCCTTTATCAGCTTGATTCCTAGTTTCTTGAGACTTTCATCATGAATGGATGTTGAATTTTGTTAAATGCTTTTTCTGCATCTATTGATATGGTCATTTTTTTTTTTTTCTCTCTCTCTTTAGTCTGTTAATGCAGTGTATTACATGAAGTGATTTTCCAAATGTTGAGCCAGGCTTTCATTCTCTGGTTAAACCCCACTCACTCAGGATGTACTGTCCTTTTTATATATGAGGGTCTTCAAAAAGTTTATGGAAAGATTTGCATTATCTTTTAATTCTATTTTTTCACAAACTTTTTGAAGTACCCTTGTATTGCTTGATTTGTTAATATTTTTTTGTGAATTTTTGTTTATGTTTGTGAAGGATATTAGTCTGTAGTTTTCTTAAAATTTTTTTGTCTTAGGGCCGGCCCAGTGGCGCACTGCTGCAGTGCGCTGCTTGGGAGCGTGGCAGCGCTCCCGCCGAGGGTTCGGATCCCACATACAGACCGGTTCCCGCTCACTGGCTGAGCGAGGGGCGGGCGCAGCACTGAGGGTTGCGATCCCGTTGCTGGTCCCGGTCTGGTACGGGCGCGACACTGAGGGTTGCGATCCGTTGCCGGACACGAAAAAAAAAAATTTTTTTTTTTGTCTGGTTTGCATCAGGGTAATGCTGACCTCATAAAATGAGTTGGAAAGTGTTCCCTGCTTCTCTTTTCTGGAAAAGTTTGTGTAAAATGGTTTTGTTTCTTCCTTAAATGTTTGGCAATGAAACTATTTGGGGAGAAGCTGCCAACAGTGCACAGGTATGAGCTGAGACTCAAACGGCACGGGAGCAGTGCGTGTGGGGAGGCGCCGGAGACCCCAGACAGGTTTGAGTCAGATCATACGTCCTAGCCCCAGAAGATGGGGAACTGCCTCAAATCCCCCACCTCGGATGAGATCTCCCTGCTTCACGAGTCTCAGTCCCACCGGGCTAGCTTTGGCGAGGGGACGGAGCCGCCGCCGCCATATCAGGAACAAGTTCCAGTTCCAGTCTATCATCCAACACCTAGCCAAACTCGGCTAGCAACTCAGCGGACTGAAGAGGAACAAATTAGGATAGCTCAAAGAATAGGCCTTATACAGCATCTGCCTAAAGGAGTTTATGACCCTGGAAGAGATGGATCAGAAAAAAAGATCCGGGAGTGTGTGATCTGTATGATGGACTTTGTTTATGGGGACCCAATTCGATTTCTGCCGTGCATGCGCATCTATCACCTGGACTGTATAGATGACTGGTTGATGAGATCCTTCACGTGCCCCTCCTGCATGGAGCCAGTTGATGCAGCACTGCTTTCATCCTATGAGACTAATTGAGCCAGGATCTCTTGTCTGACTTCAAGTGAACCATCACTTTTGGTGGTTTTGATCTTTTGTCATGAGCCCAAAGAGCCAGGGATTAGGAATTAAGATCATGCACAAAAATTTCCTAAAAATTCCTGGATGGCTGCAGATGTTGGGGGAAAGTATGTGATATTTTAGAAACTTAGAGGGAAAAGTAGGATGGTATTTTTACGTAAAGCCTTGACCCAGTGTTTAAAAATATAGTTGTATTTAGATCTTGTTATTGCTCCAGTAGATAGGAATTGTGTAAAGTGTTACAGCAGCTGTATATTGTTTAAATTGTGTGTGTTGAAGATTAGGAAAAAGATAGTGGTTATTTTTTCCTAAATAACTTTCTTCTCCACCCCACCCCACCTCCCACTCTTTTCTGAAGTTGCTGGCATTTGGGTCAAGGTTTTATTAAAGCTACATTTTATAAGACTGCCACAAAAAAAGTAGTTTTAAGCTTGTTAACACAGTTCTTTTTTCCCTTTGGAAATTAGATTCATTGCCTTAGGTCTTTTTAAGTAGTGTATTATTACCATTGGGGCTGGCTCTATGCTTAAAAACCAGTTTATTTATAACCTATTATAAGTGCTATATTCTGTTTGCAGTTAGGAAATGCACCCACCCCTCGCTCAGCCAGTGAGCGGGAACCGGTCTGTATGTGGGATCCGAACCCTCGGTGGGAGCACTGCCACGCTCCCAAGCGGTGCACTGTAGCAGTGCGCCACCAGGCCAGCCCTAAGTGCTATATTCTGTTTGCAGTTAGGAAATGCAGAATTCAAAGTGATCTCCTAGCTTGTAAGCAAACTGAGATGCACTACCCTTTTCTATAAAAAATGAGTTAATGTGTCAAAAAACCAACTCTAGTAAAGTGGGGTTTAATATTTCCATTTCCTATGTGTTTTATCTAATTATTTTGGTTGTTAATATGGTGATAAATAAAAGTCAAGGTAAATTTAAATATTAAGATTTCTGATTTATTGAGCTTGAATTATGTCACCATACCTACACTTATGTAAAAATGAACGTGGCACCATGGTGAAACTTAACGAGAAGTAGTTTCTCAGTTGTAACAATTTTGATTTATTCTCTTTCGTGTGACCTCCTTCCCTGTTGTCTTGAACCATAGCAAAAGGATACTGCATCTCTCATTACTGTAGTGTTGAGGGTATTGAAATTATATAAAAACACATCTCAGTCTCTGTTTCTTGGAAAGGTATCTGTTAAGTCCTGCTAGCTGACTTATAAGACTAAGCAGGAAAAATAAAGATAAATGTGTTTCATGTTTTGCACACAAATGCAGGATTTGTATAATCACATGACTTCATAGTTGTGATTTCAAAAAAGAAGGAATTTCTCCTTTATCTTTTCTTGCAGTTAATGTAAGAATACTCTAAATCTCTAAGCTTCTGAAGTGTTAGAGGTAGAGATGGTCTAGTAAAGGTGTAGTAGTAATGTTTTATCCACTTAGCATGTGTTTATTTTTCCTTATGTACTCAAAGGTGACTTATTTGTTCAGCTCGGTGATATTCCATCTAAAAATCATTCATTAGCAAAAGGAGAAGCAATCTCAACGTAACAAAGAAATCAGAAGTGTTTCTTATTATTTCGTGTTGAGTTGAATATTTGACCCTAACACTTTTCTACATACAAAATACAAGTATCTTGAAGGTTCTTCATAATTGCATTATAGAGGAATTTAGTATGTCATAAGTACTTTTTAAAGATTTGGCATTCAACTGTAATATCTATATGTTGGTTAATTTTCTTATGAGCCCCATGATGGAAAAACTTAAAGATGAATTTGAGAAAAATTGAAACAAATTAGCTTATCAGGTTCTGTTAAATTGTTACATGTATCTTGCTTAAATTTATTTCATTAATTTGTATTCACCCAATTACATAAAGCAAATTTGGAGGAAACAGCTGAAGTTGTGCAATATTTTCAATGATAATTTTTTTTATTCTTGTGTTTTCTACTTAAACATGCAGAGATGAGCCAGGAGCAGCACAGCAGTCTCACACGGAGGCCAGTCTCAGCCATAGATCCAACTACCATCTGCTTCTCCAGGCCAGGGAGACCCAATTTCCTTTTGGGGGAGGGGGACAGCTGGATAGTACAGGGAGGAGGGAGACCCAATTCCTAATTATACTCCAGCTACATATTATCCCCAAGAAAGCAGTCCCTAAGCAATGATTTGAGGCTACATAGGTCAAGAGACTTCATTCTGTCAGTGCAACCAGAATTAACTGGAGCTGAAGGGACTTTCTTGGGCTAAACAAATGAGACTGATTTTTGAGCCCTCACTGAGCTAGGCACTATATCAAGAGCTTAATGTTTACACTATTTTATGCATTCTACAACCTAAAATGTCAATATTTACAATGAAGGACAAGACGTTTCCAGTGACCAGAATTTGTGTGTCCTTTGCCCAGAGAAGGGGTTTGACAAACTACTGTCTATGGGCCAAATTCAACATGATGCTTATTGTGTAAATAAAGTTTTATTGGAGCACAGCTATGGCCACTCATTCATGCATGGTTTCTGGTTGTTTTGTGCTACAGTGGCAGAGTTAATTAATGTGACAGACTGTATAACCCACAAAACCTAAAATACGTAACACTCTGGTTCTTTTACAGAAAAAGTTTGCTGACCCCCACCCTAGACTAGTGATACTCAACTCGTGCCACATATTGGAATCACCTGGAGAATGTCTGAAAAAATATTGTCTGGATCTCACCCCCGGAAATTGATTTATTTGGTTTGGGCTGAGACTGAAATATTAGAAGTTTTTAAAGCTGCCCAGGTGATTGAACTTAGCAGCCAAGGTTGAGAACTACTGGCCTAGAATAAGGCCACCGCCCATACTGGTTATTCTAATGTGCCTTTAGGGATAAGAAGCACTTACCTAGGGCAGTATTTTCCAGATCTGTATGTGTATCAGTCACCTGGGGAGGCTTTTAAAATAGAAGTTTTAAAATAGCCACGACCCCACTGCAGACCTACTGAATCAGAATCTCCACGGTATGAGGCCAGGGAATTTTTTTTTTTTTTAATTCCTCAAGGGGTTCTTGATATGCAGGTATTTCTATAAAAGAATATCAAACCCAGGGTACCCTATTTTTATCATCAAGATTTTCGGATATTGCTTGAGTAATTGTGTATATTATTTAGTGAGTATAGGAGTGGGGAAAAGGGATTTGAATGGTTTTGAGGCTGTGCGATGCATGCTATGGATGATCCTATTGAATGGTCAAGCCTCACAGAAGTAAAAACACACCTCTCTAATGATGAAAACACTGTATTCGTTTCTAGTAGACAGGGTATATCTAACCCCCTTTGTACAGTGCTGGCTAAAAAGGAACAAGTTTTTCTTCTTCGGTTTCCCTTTATCTGGATTCTATAAAGACCAGTCCTTCCATTAATATTCTTTGTTCAAATAATCAGATTACATTATGGGAGAATCGATGTTAGCTTTTTAAAAACTTTTACTTATTTATTTCACACTTCTGTTTTCAGTATATTCCCCCATCTCATCAGCTTGTTTCCCTAGTCTCTTCAGCATCACATTTGTTAATTATCTCTTAAGATAGACACTTTTGAGATGGCTAAGTTCATTCATGCTGTATTTCTACCCTGGACCACCTCAATTCAGTCCCCTGATATACTTATTACATCTCAAATAGAGTTCATCTCAAATAGAGTTTTTGCTCAGTGGAGGAGTCATTAATCCTTCCCTTTATTAAACAATATCAGAGCGTGGTGCTGATAACAATGAGGCCAAAGGTTTGGATCCTATACCAGTCAGTCACCAAAAAAAAAAAAAAAAAAACACCCCCAAATAGAACAGTACCATCTGTGCCCTCTTCAGTTCAGATGAAATGTGTAAAATCATGGACTATTGAGCTGGAAGGGACTTTATGGACCAAAAGGCAAAAACAAAAACAAAAAATCTTCAAAAAAGGCAATAATTGTAGGCCGTTTAGTTGGATATAGGTAGTGCTAATGTGTTTTTGGTGGGCACTTCATGCTNTAAATTGTTACATGTATCTTGCTTAAATTTATTTCATTAATTTGTATTCACCCAATTACATACAGCAAATTTGGAGGGGAAAAAAAAAAAGAAACTATTTGGACTAAGCCCCATCTCAATTATACTCCAGCTACATATTATCCCCAAGAAAGCAGTCCCTAAGCAATGATTTGAGGCTACATAGGTCAAGAGACTTCATTCTGTCAGTGCAACCAGAATTAACTGGAGCTGAAGGGACTTTCTTGGGCTAAACAAATGAGACTGATTTTTGAGCCCTCACTGAGCTAGGCACTATATCAAGAGCTTAATGTTTACACTATTTTATGCATTCTACAACCTAAAATGTCAATATTTACAATGAAGGACAAGACGTTTCCAGTGACCAGAATTTGTGTGTCCTTTGCCCAGAGAAGGGGTTTGACAAACTACTGTCTATGGGCCAAATTCAACATGATGCTTATTGTGTAAATAAAGTTTTATTGGAGCACAGCTATGGCCACTCATTCATGCATGGTTTCTGGTTGTTTTGTGCTACAGTGGCAGAGTTAATTAATGTGACAGACTGTATAACCCACAAAACCTAAAATACGTAACACTCTGGTTCTTTTACAGAAAAAGTTTGCTGACCCCCACCCTAGACTAGTGATACTCAACTCGTGCCACATATTGGAATCACCTGGAGAATGTCTGAAAAAATATTGTCTGGATCTCACCCCCGGAAATTGATTTATTTGGTTTGGGCTGAGACTGAAATATTAGAAGTTTTTAAAGCTGCCCAGGTGATTGAACTTAGCAGCCAAGGTTGAGAACTACTGGCCTAGAATAAGGCCACCGCCCATACTGGTTATTCTAATGTGCCTTTAGGGATAAGAAGCACTTACCTAGGGCAGTATTTTCCAGATCTGTATGTGTATCAGTCACCTGGGGAGGCTTTTAAAATAGAAGTTTTAAAATAGCCACGACCCCACTGCAGACCTACTGAATCAGAATCTCCACGGTATGAGGCCAGGGAATTTTTTTTTTTTTTAATTCCTCAAGGGGTTCTTGATATGCAGGTATTTCTATAAAAGAATATCAAACCCAGGGTACCCTATTTTTATCATCAAGATTTTCGGATATTGCTTGAGTAATTGTGTATATTATTTAGTGAGTATAGGAGTGGGGAAAAGGGATTTGAATGGTTTTGAGGCTGTGCGATGCATGCTATGGATGATCCTATTGAANCAGTCACCAAAAAAAAAAAAAAACCACCCCCAAATAGAACAGTACCATCTGTGCCCTCTTCAGTTCAGATGAAATGTGTAAAATCATGGACTATTGAGCTGGAAGGGACTTTATGGACCAAAAGGCAAAAACAAAAACAAAAAATCTTCAAAAAAGGCAATAATTGTAGGCCGTTTAGTTGGATATAGGTAGTGCTAATGTGTTTTTGGTGGGCACTTCATGCTATACATGATACACTTCTTGCTTTTGAATTTATAATCTGTTACATGCAAGCCCTAGCTATGAAGAATCTCAGTAGTGTCAAGTCCATCCATGTATAATGCTCTTGCTTGACAGTAACTGAATGACCACGGTCAAGCCAAATCTGAGACTTACTTTCCTCATCTGTAAAATGAGGAAAATGAAGATCTACTACACAGGGTTATTAAAAGAATAAGACAAGTTAATAGAGAAAGCACTTTGTAAACTGCAAAGTGCTTTTTCTTTTGGTTTGGGAAGGACATTGAGCAGGAAGGAAAACAAAAATAAATCAATCAACTGGAGAATCACTGTTATTACATGAGCCCCTACCCCAGCAGACATTAGCTAAACGGAAAAGGAATGGTCTTGGAAATAAGAATTTCTGGTATATTAAATTATGAGTGCTATTTGCTAGTCAAGTAATCATTGATTACCTAACATGAAAAAGCCCTAAGCAATACTATCAAACAGAAGACTATCTGCTTTCAAGGGATTTACAAATAAGTTAACCATCAAGTTGCACATCAAGGCTGTAAGGGAGGGAGAGCTCACCTCCACCCACCCTTCCTTAGTTCTTATGTGGGCACTTCGGCTGGATCTGGGAACCAAACAAATTTTATTAGTTTCACATATATACATGGGGATTTTGTGAAGTCTGAAGTGGCCAAAGCAAGATGCTTTTATACTTTTTAGACAAAGAATGATCAATTTGTGAAGAAAGGACAGGACAAAGGGGCAGTTAATTCTAGGGGAGTCAATGGGAGACATATGGGGTGTGTGTGTAAAGGACTACTTTGGGAGATTTATTTACTCATTTCCATTGCAACCCCAATTCCCAATCTCTGGTGATAAGGCCTATTTTCACACCCTGGTACGGGGAGGGCATTCCTCCCAGAGGAATCTTTATGGTTTGCTGCATATGGGAAAAAACAGTTCAATTAGCCCTTTCTGAAACCACAATTTCTCCAATGTTTTCAGCTCAAAATAATCAATATACCAATCTGGCATATTCTGGGATGGCATGTCCTTCACTCCTTCAAGGCATTTGTGTATTACATATGGTAACAGAAGACAGGTGCTATTGGCTGGCTGGTTTGCTCAGTTGGTTAGAGCACAGCCTTAATAACACTAAGGTCATGAATTTGGATCACTGTATGGGCCAGCTGCAAAAAAAAAAAAGAGAGAAAGAAAATGAGTTATTGAAGGACTATGAAAATACCATAAATCAACTTAAAAGAGGTATGGGCTAGCATATTTTTCAATTTATTTGCAAGGCTGGTTTAATGACTATGGCATGGTATCAGTGGTTACTCTCAAAAGGCATTTTATATATATAGCTTTAGGATAGATTTTTACAAACAAAAATAAAATTTTGTAATTATTTAGTTTAGTTCAACAAACATTTATTGAGGATATAGTAAACAATCATAGATTATCCCTGTCTTCAAGGTGATGATTGTCAAGTAGGGGAAGCAAACAAGTACAAGACAATGGAAAATGCTGGGATGGAAGTGCTATACATAAAGAGCACGGTGGAGCCCTGCAGGGAGTGAGGGCAGGGTGGTCAAGAAGGCTGGCCACCCAGAGGAAGAAGTACTTCAAAGTTTCAATGACATGTGGGAGGAAGGGCAGATAGAAGGATGTGAAAGACTTGGAGGTATGAGAGAACATCGAGTTTTCAGGGAGCAGAGTGGATCCCAGGATGCGTGTAAGGCAGCAAGAAATGACATAGAAAGGGGTGGAATCATGACTAGTTTGCTTGTTTGATCACTTTTCTAAGGGGTGGCAGCTGCTGAGGGACTCTGATTTGGAGAGTACAAGAACTGTGTTTTAGAAGTGCCCTACTCAGCGTGGTGGGGATGATGAACATGAGCTGGATAAGAAAGACCAACGGTAGAATTCCCAGCTAGGGCTATGCAGTGTGGATACCGTTCTACTGACACACGAACAAATAGTGGTTCCATAATGTTAGATACTTTACACCACGATTAGCTGTTTATTCAGTTTTTATACTTATTTAGAACAATTTTATTTATAATCTTATTCTTCCTCAATCACATAAAGTGCTTCCCTTTTAACGATTTTCTATTAAAAGCTTTGACTATCAATAGCACCTTGATAGGCTCTATAAAACAAAGTATTATGCAAGTATGGGTGAAATTATACTATAAATATTTGGAATTTACATCATTATTTTCCTATCTGTGAGTGATTCACCATAATTTTCATTCTGCCTTCAAAATCCTGAGAGAGGTCAGAAACCCATTTTGCAGATGAAGGAACGGAGGTAAAGAGTTCTTCTTGGTCTCAGCATGAGAGACTGGACTATGTCAGAGATTATTGCTTTTATCCTTACCAGGTTCCTTAATCCCTCCTTATACCCATAAGTTTCAGTTTTTTTGTAGGTCCAAAAGTGAGAAGTGTTTTGAGATTTGTTGTTCTGTGTATGAGAAATACTGCACTTCTCCTGACATACACAATGTGCTCACAGTGCATGGTAGCTTAAGAAGCTAAAGCCAGGAGCCTCTCCTCCGAT